GCCGATTCAAAGTCAAGTATTGCACTAGAGCTGTCAAATAAAATATTTGTTACCGTAAACCATAAAAATCGTAATCGTAATCGTAAGTTTAATATCTATCTCGCGAGTATGTAAACTGTTGAAAGATTCTGAACCCGTAACATACTGCTTACAATGTAACGCATTATTTTTCGGTAGATTGTAATAATATATCTTAAAATTGTAATAATATATGTTGAAATTAGTCAAAAGGTTGTTTTGATCGAAAGTTAAAGTTAGCCTAACCTTTTTTATGGTTTCGTACCTGAAAAGGTAAAAACGAAACCCTTATGGATCAGGTAAGTATTATGGGACCAGGTAAGTAGGTACATAACGGATTTATATATAATTTTTTTGTTACAAATATATTTTATTTAGGACTATTAGGTAAGAGTATATGGAGGTGTAAGTACGTGTATGTATGTTTATATGTGTGTTCGTGCGTGTGTTCGAAATAATAACTTTTTAAATGAAACTTCCATACTTAAAAAAATGTAGTAATAAATGAAATAAAATTGAATTTAAGGCTATAAATGAAATTATAAAAAATTAATGAAATAAAACTATTGTATCATATGAAAAATTAAGGAAAAACTCGCAAAATATCAATATTTTTGTTTATTTAGTTATCGATCATAGCTTTGATAGGTATAATAAATTCAAGATTTAAATGTTACTTATGCGTTACCATTACTAGTTTTTAAAGTGAATTAATTTAGTATAAATTCTTCTCACTGCTTGTTTCTCGTTATATTTCTTTCTTTTGCTGAGGAATGTTAGTCTCGTATCTACATATTTTTTATGATACTTTGAGCTAAATCAGTTATATGGTTTGTCTCTTCTGTGTATTTTTGGTGGTAGTCATATTCGGGAAATAGTTTTTCTCCTACAAAACGGCTTATTGTTTTGTGAACTAAGAAGTCACTTGTACATCGTCGTACTATGTCTACACTCTCAATGAAAAATTTTTTTATGAATTGCTCCGAACGGTGGCAAATTTTTTGCACATTAACTGATGGATATATTAAGCCCCCCTTATCTCTGTAAAAATTAAGCTTCTCTTATTTTCTGACAAGCATACTAATGCTTGCACGCAAGTGGCGAATTTAATACGTTTAATTAGTGCGCTAGACACATACTCTGCTATGTATTCTATCACATTCTCAGAAAACTGTGAAAGCTCGACAGCTTCCATCCGAATATTAAATTCTTCTTCGTTTTCATGATCATCATCATTAACAGTCTGCTCAGTTTCGCTGTGAGTGGTCAGGTTTATTCTTGTGATTGCCGAAGAACAATTAAGAATTGATATCTTCTCTAACAGTATGCAGTTACCCGTCGCTGTTTGTAATAATTCTGTATGAATTAAGCATTTATGGTAAATGGCTTCGAATAAGCGGGGTGTAGGATTGTCATTTGAACCACCATGTGATCTCATATTGGCAAAAAAGAGTTCTATGTGATCCTGTGAAATTTTGTGCATAGGTAAGTATCTTATAGGACAATTTTCATCACAAATTAAATCCTTAAATAAACCTTTAGTACTTTCGATTGCAACAAAGAAACCTAGAAATCCAGTAAACCGTGGTGATTCTATCAATTTTACTTGTAGCGTTTTCTTTCGTATAATTATTTTTGTAGTGACAGTCACCAAAAACCTTTTGCATTCCTCTAGTCTATCAAAGATTCTAGTATGATTATCAAAATTCAAAGCCCGTTTGTATCCATACCCGTGGACTCTGGAATCTAAAATATCAAATAGATCGTTTATGAGTAGGATCGTTCTGGATGTCGCACCAACTCCTTAAAAGTCTGTTAATTTTAACTCTACTTCGCAAAAATCTAATGCTGTAGCTACGCTGCGACTGAACAATTGTGTAGCTAATTTTACTTTCATTATGTTCTTTCATTACTCATCAATCAACTTATTGGCTAGGTGAAAATTCTCTTCTTCTTGGAGCTCCTGTAATAATTTTAGGTAATCCCATCGTATAGTGTTGCCGTTCTCATCTTGAATTTCTTGATATTTTTCAAAAGTATTTCTGACCAATTTGAGCATATGCACGGGATCCAAAAATACGAAAATATTAGCACTCGTCACAGGGTGTTTAAAGCTCGTCTTTAGCTGCTCTTTTTGTAATTTGAATCCTAGTTGCTTTGCCACTGCCAAGTTTGCTGGACAGCCGTCGAAAGTCAATGCTTTGACAGTAACTTTGGTTTTCATGGCACAGCTCAAGAGCAATATTTACCAGATTAGCTTTTTGTTCTCCACTGGTTTTATCGACAAGAAAGTAACCAATTGGTACTTTGAAACTTCCGTTGAATGGGACTACTAAAAGCACTAGCGCTTCTGTGGATTCATTATTGCAGTCAGTTTCCAGTTGATTACCAAAATCCACGTAGCCGAATAAACGTTGAGTTGATGGTTCATATTCTACCTTGCTTTTTATTTTCATCTCATCGAATACAAGGGTATACATCAACTCTTCTTCTCTGGCTTTTAAGGCGTTGAAAGCCTCTTTCGTGAAACCCGGCCTACCGTCCACAGTCTGGTACCATTTTGTTAGTGTTCGCATGGAAGGTAAACAAGTATTGAAGGTATTTCTTACATATTTGTAAGCTTTTGATGTATAAAAATTCAATGTGAGAGCGAAATTTCTCAATTCAGGCGAACATTTCTTTTTAATAATTTTTCCCGTTTTACATTTCAGATACCGACGATAAACGATTTCTTGATTAAGTACACCAATTTTTTTTAAATATCTGCGTCTTCGGCTTTAATGAGATTTTTCTTTTCTAATTCCTTTATTATAACTTTTAAAGATGCCACTCTTTTTTTATAGTAACGGACTTTGTCCCTTAATACCTTAATTGTTTTATTTTTATGCTTCACTTGACTTGTTAACTGCAAAACACGTCTGCAAAGACGTTTTTTGGTCGGAGAGTGAAACTTTGAAGGAGTTTCAGGTTCGGTAGCTTTTCGTTTACTTCCCCTTGGTGTAGTTGATATCGAGTCCTTTTGAGAAGACGATGATGGTATCGGACTTGCATCTTCTGGAACTGATATGTTACTCTGCAAAGAAAACAAAATAATACATATATCGAGTCTGTAAAGACAATAGGTTTTATTTTATTTTATTCGTATGGTTTACTTACAGTCAACTAACACAATACAATCTTAAATAACAGAAAAGTTTCTTAAGCTAAGTGTAGTGACTACTTACTAGTAAACACAGCATGCAATATAACAATAACTTAAGTGGGTTTTGATTTTACTAAATAAAGTTAACAATTTTAAAAGGAAAAAAAAACATTGTTTATCCATATGGTAAAAGAGAACACAAGCTGGTTGCACGAAATTAAGTACTAGTCATACTATCGACAATCTTTTTACGGAAATTATAAGCGGAATCAAAGTTTACGTCAACTCTGTGTTTGTAGCTATTTAGCAGCTTACACAGTCTGGGTAATGGAGAGTTGGAGCTGAGAACGGTTCTGCGGGTTGGTGGTCTCAGTGATGCTATCGGATGACGCGGATACCTTGAAGGCGCGCTAAAATCAAATGAGTTTAGTAACTAAGGGCAACTAATTCTATTGTTGAGAATTTTATACAAAAACAATAAGTCTGTTAGCTCCCTACGTTTATCTAAGAATAACTTTTTGAAAAATTTTAATTTATCCGTATATGAGAAATCTCTCTTTGATTTACCAACTAATCGTGCCAAATGCCACAGAAACCGCTTCTGAATACGCTCAATGCGTAGATTGTGAACCGCAAAGTGTGGACGCCAGACAACAGAACAGTACTCGAGTGTGCTACGAACGAGAGTATTATACAGCATTTTCTTAGTATTAATGCTGAATCCTTTGCTATTTCGTATGACGAACCCAAGCAGCCTTGAGGCTCTTTTAACGATGTTTTCGTAATGAGGTATAAATGTCAGCTTTCTGTCAAAAGTAGCCCCTAAATCTTTTATAACCTCAACCTCTTGAATAATATACTCATCTATTTTATAACTAAATGAAATACGGTTTACTTTTCTGGTAAATTTGACGTGTTGACATTTTTTAGTGCCATTCGATTGTCTCTGCACCAATCAATAAGATTTTTCAGACCCCTTTGTAATAATATTGAGTCTTCTATTGAATTTATATGTCTTAAAAATTTCAGGTCATCGGCATACATAAAAACACAAGAGTTAGTTAAGTAATCTGGGATGTCGTTAATAAAAAAGTAAAAAAGGATAGGGCCAAGATGTGATCCTTGTAGCATACTTGAGGTTATACTAATATTATCAGATTGAAAGCCGTTGACCACAAAGTAAAAAGTCCGATCCTCTAGATATGATGACAACCATGTTAAAAAAGAACCAGCAAACCCATAACATACTAGTTTATTGAGCAGATTGTCATGAGGCACTTTGTCAAAAGCTTTGCTAAAGTCAGTATACAGGACATCGATCTGTTGTTTACGGTCGAGGCCTTCGGCCAGATTCTCGACAAAGCTTGTTAGATTTGTGCATGTTGACCTGGATTCAACAAATCCATGCTGGTTGTCTTTAATGTAAAGCTTAAGGTGATTTTGAATTGAGGGACATACTACAGCCTCAAAGATCTTTGCGAATGTAGACAAGATCGAGATAGGTCTATAATTGCTAACTAAAAATTCATCATCAGATTTGTATATCGGTGCCACTTTAGCTTCTTTACATTGCTTAGGAAATATACCAGTGCGTAATGATATATTATAGATGTAACACAGCGGTCTGACTAACATGGGGGCACACAACGCTATGAAAAACGGTGGAATGCCGTTTTCTGGCCCAGCCCCTTTAGATCGATCCAACCGTTGTAGTTTACTCAGGAGCATTTTCTCTGTAATCACCGGTACAACAACAGTCTGACAGTAATTATTAATAGCATTGATAATGAAGTTGAATAAAATAGATTATGTATTATATATCTTACCACTACAGGCAAATTTAGTGTAGGAATTGCGGTATCAAACAAACGGCGGCGACTTTTTGATGTATAAAAACAATCTTCTGTAAAATGTCTGGAGCAAATGACACTATAATTACTTGGAAACCAGTTTCCCTTTTTGCACAATCTATCCATTGTTCTTTAAGATTCGGATCCTTAGCAAACCTAAAAAAAAAACTATTTACAAAAAATGTGAAAAATAATACTTTTTAAAAAGACTCGCCGGCTATTTCGTTTCTATTATGCTTAATTTACAAATTCTGTTTAAATTATAGACGTCCCTGTGTAGATTTTGTCTAAAAGTAACTTCAATTACAGTCATTTTTAACTTAGTCATTATTAGTTACCATCATTATAACTTTTAATTAAAGTAGCTGACTGAAATTTTGTAGATTATTATTTATTTTATATTAATACTAGCAGCGCACCGCGGTTGCACTCGCATAGTTCCCGTTTCCGAGGGGAAAACCGGGATATAAACTGTCTGTGTACTAAATTTCATTCAAATTCGTTCAGTACTTTTTAGCGTGACACGCAAACATCCTAACATATAAACAGCCAAACTTTCAGATTTATATTTTTAGTAGGATTTGTATTATTATTAGTAGGATATTTTTGTATTGAGGTCTGGTGTGCTTAAATTAATCGACAAAGTAACTCACTACCTACTACTCACTCTAGATCGACTTATTTAAACTTTGTCTTGAAATGTATTCAATTTATTACATCTACTTATGTGTTTAAAAAAATAACCTTTTACGGTAAATATCCGGTAAAATAAAAAAAAACGGTATAATCCGGTAATTTGATTATGACGCAGCACTAGTAAACACGTAATAAATAAAATGAGATGGCTTATATGGGTTACACCTAGGTAAGAGCAAGACGCATAGACAAGCGTCCAAGTGTTTCATTCTAAATGGCCAGTTTAACTTGAGCCGTATTAAATGGATGTAAATTGAAACAAAATCAAAGTTTATTGATACTTACCGATGAAACGTGATTCCGTCTGTTTTATAATTCGATGTCTTGCTGTTTTTTCCACACCATCGAATAGAACAACACGACATTATGGGGTTTAATATACCAAACTTTGAATATTTTCGGGAGTATCGGGGAACGTACACACAGATCACTTGTTGGTGAGGTACTGTTTTAGGGCGAGCGTGAATTGTTATTTTTCAGTGACAAATCACTGATCAGTTTCGGAATTGGATGGCTCACATTAGTACTCTATTCAGGTTAAATGCTAGATGTTCACACTGGACAAAAGGCTGTGAAGCACTTTGGTCAAGCATGTATAAAACACTAGTGGCCGGATGAGGAAGCTCAAGGTCGCTCAGCCAGCTATGGAGAGGGCTATGCTCGGAGTTTCTCTGCGTGATAAACTTAGAAATGAGGATATCCGCAGTAGAATCAGAGTGACCGACATAGCCCAACAGATTAGTAAGCTGAAGTGGCAATGGGTCGGCCATATAGCTCGAAGAACCGATAACCGATGGGAAAAAAGGTTCTCGAGTGGCAGCCTCGTACCGGCAGGCGAAGTGTAGGGCGTCCCCCCCCCCCCCCACTAGATGGAGTGTCGACCTGGTAAGATATGCAGGAAGTCGATGGAGGCAGGTGGCTCAGGACCGTGCTTTGTCGCATTTCTTGGGGGAGGCCTATGTTCAGCAGTGGACTTGTGAAGGGCTGTAATGATGATGATGATGATGATGCATAAAACACATCGCAAACTGACCGTTTCATACCCGCTTTATCAACACCGATGTTCTATGACATACCCAGGTATCGGTATGTTTCAGCCTCGAAAAGGTCCTTATGTTGATGGGCCCTCTATGGACAGTCTATGCCCTCAGAGTTAGCAACCCTTTCCCTTTCAACATGGACGACCGCACACTTATCCGTCACCAGCTCTATTCTAATAGAATTACTAAAATCACAAGTGATGTTTAGCAATTCCATAAGATGAGAGCGACTAGAGGCGAATAATTTGAGATCATCCATATAGAAAAGGTGGGTCACTTTTGACCTTCCTTTCCCCCTATTATTATTATTATTATATTATTATTACAAGTGCTATCACACGAGCGCTACCGCAGGTGCAATGTAAATGTGTTTGAGGTCACCAATGTCTATACCACACTCACATATTGTAGAGTTTTTAAGGAAGGTTAGCTCAGTGAACCTAGCCCCACTTGGATTTTTATTTTTGATTTTTAAGTTTTAATTAATTTTAATAGAAATTTTAATAATTGACGAACAGACGCAGGCATCTCCTTCGTGGTTATTTTTCTATAAACCACCCAGTTAGTATCTTACTCCTATCTTGCAAAAAAATCTAGCAACTTTTTGAATTTTTTAAAAAAATTAGTTCTATACCCGCAAAAATTATGTTAATGTCTTTTCATCACTGCTTTAAATTGTCTTCAGATTCAAGTAAGTTTATTTATACGATTAAAGGAATTGAATATTTATAATTAAAAACTATTAAATCATGATATACAAAACTTTTACAATTTTTGTTTTTTATTCACGTTTTATTTTGGTAATTGATGTTCAATGATCCTGCTTTCACATAGGGTTCCTTATAAAAAAAGAGGTGAAATATTTGTTACCCAATAGGAACATTAATTATTATTATGAGTATCACATTATTATTGGAAGGTCTCTAGAAAACTTTAAAAAATATAGGTGGTTAGATCTACTATTCAAAGTAGGATTCGTAGGAAACTACCAACTAAACGTAGTTATTATAATCTGTTTGCTAACAATTTCTGAAATCAAATCTACCTCCGATCTGAGATTCGCATTCGCATAGACTTATTTTTTTTTTGAGTTTATGGCCTGGTATCTAGACCTTTAGGCCAAGTCTTAAGTATTTTTATTCGGTTTATTGTAATTTCCCCACTCCTTCATAATATACTGCTTCACAATATGTTGATGCGTCACATTGTGCAGTTCTTGGGAGATTTTGGCGGCAACTTGATCCAGCAGACAGCTGATAGTTGGCGATGGTATCTAAAGGTGCCTATGCAAACAAACAGCTTATCTTGAGAATCCATCACCATCAGAGCACTTGTTTCACTGTTTCCACTAATAGTTCACATGCGTAGACACTTAATACACAAAATCGCAACACTTTTACATATCAAAGTCCACTTCAAACCATTATTTAAACAATAATACAGGAGCAGCAAACCGCCGCCGGTCAATTTCCCGCCAAAACTCCTCGCATAGACTTAGATTCGAGACAAACACAGAGTACCTACCTACCTACTTTGAATAATCCGAAATGAGACAAACTTCGGGTTTTCAGTATATAAAAAGTACTCTGTGCTTCGTGTTGGTAACACCGTTGCCTGTTGCCAATTGTCATGAATTAAAAAAAAAAAAAAAACAAACAAGTAGAATAAAACAAAAATACTATTCAATATTCATATTTCACTGTTATTTGGGTTTTGACTTTTGAATAATGGAAGAAAATGAATATAGGGCATCGATCCCTAAAACAGCTTTAAATTTATATGTCAGATTATATTGCAAAAAAAGGAAACTAGTGGAGAATAAGGTTACAAGGGTAAGTTAAAGTTGTTCATACTGTTAAAAACCAAGAGATTTCTATTTTAAGGCCAATTTAAAGCCGTTCTGAAGTACAGCCAGTATAATTACAGACTTTGAGGCATTCCGCCTTAGTTCTTAATTCGAGAGCAATTTTGTAGCCTTCTTTGTTTAAAGTTGTCTATAGGTGTCCATGTACTGTACTTTTAGTTTTATAAAAGAAAGTTAAGCGGGGAATTGACTCCTTTCCTAAAATGCTGCCAGGTGCCATGATTCCCCTGCTACGCCACTAGATTCACACTTAACCAGTGCAGTAGTAGTGATTTATATACATTTTGTACATTAGTCATGTAGTTTGTAGTACATATATATATAGACTTGTGTAGGGCTGTAATGATTGTACATTAGTGAGTAAAGAAATCTGCATTTGCTATTTGCCAGTTGATAGTTAACTATTTACTACATATTTAGGATAACAATCTAGCACAAAACTGTTATATATATATATATATATATATATATATATATATAAGTTTTGCTTAATAGTATATTATAGGTGTCCAAACAAGGCATTCCTGTAAGAAATCCACAAATCCTCCCATTGAAGACTTGTGCTACGGATAGTTTTTAAAATACCCAATAATAAAGATTGTGACTGTGACAAAGTAAGCCCAACTGAGTCTTCGAATATTGGATCACTAATTCCAGAAAAATATTGTTAGTTCATTTAACAGCTAATATTTTAAATTTAGAATTTAAGGGCCTAGTAGTCTGAAACATTCATTGTCCACCTCTCCCATACCACTTTAGATCCTAAAATAGGGTTATCACTAAGAACAAATAAAATAGGGTTTTATTTGCTAAAAAATAATATTCAGAATATCGAAGAGGGTGATTTAAAAAGCATTGGCCAAAACTGTATCTCTATTGAATTCTGATCATTGGATGAGTGAAGATTGTCTGCATCTATTCCGTCTTATAATGTTTTTTTAATGGGAATCGTACAGGTACCCCTGTTGATTGATCAATGGAAGAAACAGCAGAAGCTGCCCCCTGCTTGTGGTAAAATTTTAAATGTCCGTTGCATTCACAGAAAGAGTTTTGCTAATGGGTCATCTTCCCCATAAAGCTGAACGTCCACAGCAAACTAAACTAACTTAGTTTATTTTGGCTCGCATAGCTGAGCCAGTTTTTCATACATGTCCATCCACCGCAAACTATGCCAGTTAAGCTAGGTAAAACAGCCAAACTATATTACAGCCGACCATATTGGGCGAGCAAATCAAGTTTGGAGGTTTATGCTTGAAACTATGGAGAAAGCGAATATTCCCAGAAATGAGACCTCAAGATCTAGATTGATTTTTTGTGTTACCCTCGTAATCGTAAATTTCATCTAGAACACGATTACAAATAGAATTATTATTGTTTATTATTATTGTATAGCTTAGCTTATACTATAAGACTACTATGGAGCAGACATCGTTTTGCTTGTTCCGACGACCCTTTTGTCCTATAAAAATTCTTAAATTCGTGATAAAAAATATTCAGGATCACATACCAGAAGGAAGTTAGCATAGAACATTTTTTTTAAATTAAACTGTATGCCAATTAATTGCTCCTTAAATGCTCCAGTAGAATCCGTAATTGCTCCACCTCTATTGCTATTAGTAAATTTATAATTAATTTTTAAAAAATTTAATTATCAAAAATTTAATTTTGCTATAAAAAATAAAATATCTACTTTTTAAAATTAAACTGTATGCCAATTAATTGCTCCTTAAATACTCCAATAGAATCCGATCATCATAAAAACTATCATATCTCTCAAATTGGAGCAAGCAATATTCTTGCAAGCATATTACAAAAGTTTTATTGAAATCAGTTCAATAGTTTTTTTTTATAGGATAAGGGTGACAAACGAGCACACAGTCCACCTGGTGGGAAGTGGTTGCTGCGGCCCATAGACATCTACATCTATCCTCTATTACAAATCAAAATGTAGATGCGTTGTCACCCGTGAGGACTAAGATTGAATGCCTCATTTCCAGTAAAAAGGGCCTCCGGCCACCTGCACTCACCAAGCGAAACGCAGAGGTATACCTCTACTTCACGCTGGTTTTCTGTGAGGTCGTGGTACCACCCCGGTTCGAGCCGGCCCATCCGTGCGACAGCAAAAGCTGTCACGTGGCTCTACCACTGTTAAAAGTTCATTGCGGACAAATAATGTGATGAAATTTTTATATATATAAAGGTAAACAATACCTTCCTTGTGATGTTATGAGTATATATTATTGATATACGAGGGCGGCACTAAAAATTTCGGGAATCAAGGAAGTGACACAACATTACTATTTAAAAATGTATTTATTGCTTTTCGAAGTATTCTCCGCAAAATTTGACACATTTTTCCATACGATGGAACCAATCATTGAAGCAACCATTCCATTCGGAAGTTGGGGTCTCCAAAATGGCCGTTTTGTAGGCGTCCATAGCTTTTTTATGTGATGAAAAT